TGCGTATTCTGATGATCTACATAATAATAAAGTTAATCAATTAATTAAATCCTTCTTACATTCTACTCTCTTCTCCATTATATTTAATTACATTTCTTATTTTTAATACATTCTTCTCTTTAAACATATACTTATCAATACTGCCTTTTATCTTTTAATTAAAAATTTCTTACAAACCAAACATTTCATTGATTATTATTCATTCAAATATAATAAAAAATATACAAACTTGAAAATTAATTATCATCTTACTTTTTAACTTATCAAACTAGATTCTCCTACTATAATATTATTTAAAGAATTAAAAGCTTATTATAGATAAATTAAATTTCTATTAGAATAACTATTTACACTAGAGTTTTTAAAAGCTGCTCAACTATCCTTATATAATAACATATAGAAATGTTATAAATGCAATATATTAAATAAAACTTTCAATTATATATGATTATATCTTATAGTAAAATCTTTAATGATAAACATTATTACTAAACTACAGTCAACTTTTATTATAATGAATTCTATGTCTTAGATCTCAACTTCGATATAAAGCTATAATAAAGATTTTAAGAAATTTGATTGACCAATTCGCTATAATAAGAGTATTTTATTATATTTGTTCAAAAAATTTGTTATATAAAGAGTTCACTATATTAAAAGTTGATTATACTAGTTTATTTAAAATCCAACTTTTTATTCATACTTCTTGATCTGATTTTCCTTCTGAAGTCTCTGCTCTTCTTTTACTTTCTTACCCTTTTAGGCACTAATGGCTGACCCTATAATATCACAATAATTGACTTTATTAAAAGTATTATTTCTTCTTCTTTTCTTAAAGTCATTAATACAGTTCTCAGTAAAATAATAGCAAAAACAGTTTTTAACGATATGTATAAACTTTATTTTTATTTTTTATTTAAAAGAATAATACTAACAAAACATTTTTTAATAATTAATTAATATTTTGTGTATGCTTCTTCTATATTGATATATACTTTAATTCAATTTAGTATACTATTAATGTACTGAAGTAATACACCATCATCAAGATTATTTCATTCCTACTATATTGTATTTAGAAAAATATCATAGGTAATTTTTTTTTGCCACTATATTCTTAATCCTTTTTTTACCTTTCCCTTTAATACTGCTTATACATTTTCGATAGGATTCAAGTCTAAGCTATACAAAGGCCAAGAAAAAACTCTTTTTGAAAGATATTTTTTCAAATCACTCTAAACGTCTTGTGAGACATATTTTGAATCATTATTTTATTAAAAGATTCAGTTGTAATCAAATAATATTATCGCATTATCATATAAATGATCATTTAAAATGTTTCAGTACAAATGATGGTTCAAATTTTTAGTAAACAAATAAATGCTAACTTTTTCTTTAATACTAATTGCTACTTAAATATGAATCTGAATAGATGCTTTACTATAGGAACAACTGGTTGTGCATCATAAAATTATATATGAATAGTATTTCTAAACATCTGAAGTGTTGTTTTATCAGAAAAAATAACTTTCTTCTAGTTGTAATGTGAATGATCACATGACTAAAACAATCTAATATCCTTCACTTTCTGAATCAAAAGAGGAACTTTTTTTGATATAATAGAAATATATCTAAGGTTTTTAAGTTTATAACATACTGTATATTCGCTAACCTCAAGTTCAGAATCTTTTTCTTCTAATTTAACCTTAAGTAGTGAAATAATTGTATTTTAAAATTTTTCTGATATAGTAATGTTAGTTCATAAATAATTTTCTTAGGCAGTCAGAAGAATGACCGATAATAATATTAGTAGTTTTACGTAGTAAACTGACATATCATTTATATATATATAAAAGAATATATAATTATTCATGAATTTTCTTTGCACTATATACATTTTAGTCCCAAATCTCTTAACAGAGTTTCATTAAATTTTAAGAGAGCTTAGCATTTTTTTGGTTAAGAAATCATAATAAATATAAAAATAAACTTTATTTTTTTAACTTACCTTTTATATTATGATTCTAGCATCCAATTTGATCATATAATCAATAGTCTATATCAGAAATGCAATTTTATGTTTCAGTTTAAAATTGATGCAATATTTAAACTACCATTTTTTTGCCAAGAACTATATATTTACAAACTCTTCTACTATAATATACACTATTCTCTCTTTCTTTTATGATTTTCTTTTTGATTAAACTTATGACTGTAAATCTAGATGTAAACTTACAATTTCAAAAGAACATTCTCGTAATATTTCATAATATAGTAAAAAGAAAGGAATTTATGCTTTCTCTAACCAATTTTCTAGAAATAGTTTTACTAATACTTCCTTTTCTTCTACTTACTTATAGCGTAATTATTTGTTTTTAATTAAAATTCTTATGTATATAGTCGTTATTAACCATTCTTCTTAATATAATAATAACTATTTATTATATGTTTTCTTTTTATTAGTTAGATAATAATAGTACTTTTTTTAGTAATTATTACTAAAGCTTAACGGGATGACTGGTTAGTCTTGTATCTCCTTAGAGGATTTTTATGTATTTTTATATACTGATTATGATTATATTTAATAAATAAAAGTATTACTGCATCTTTAAAAAAATGATTGTATTAGGATGATTTTGGTCTTATTTGAAAAAATGGAATCTACTGAATCTGCATATCAAATTTGATAGGAATTGGACTGGTAGATATAGAGATATTCACATTCAAATTTTATTATAGTAAATCATTTTTTTGATTTTTTACTAACTCTTAAAGCTATTTCATTTTCTAATATTAAAATATAGTTTTCTCACTTCATTTAGGTTCTTAGATAATGAAATTAGTATTTAGTATCATTACTTTTTAAACTGTTCCTTTTGTTTTAGTTTTAGTAGTTATATCTACTTGAAATTCCTTTATAATAAACCTTAAAATAATTGCTTTCAGTTTTTCTCAAATATCATCTGAATCAGATAATTAGATTTAAACAGGTTTAAACTTATTTTAAAGATAAAAATTTACTGGATCTGTATTTTAGAAATATGCTCAGTAGATGTAAAATATTTATGTTCAAAGTTCTTCACAGCATATTGAAACTTTGAAATTAATAATAAATTTATTTAATTATTTTTATTTTTTTTTCCAACCTGATATTTTTATATTTTTAATTTTTTATATTTTTTTTATATTTTTTTATTTTTCCCTTCTGACCTTTTTTATTTTTTAATTTTATATATATATTTTTATAATTTTTTATTTCTTTCTTTTTCTCATTATTTTTTTATATTGAATATTTTTTGTTTTAAACTTTTTTCTTTTCTTATTCTTATATCTTTAACCAAAAAAATATTTCTTTGTTAGTCTAAACAGTAGTGTTTTTTTGTTAAAATATTTTTTTCATCACTTTTCTTAAATATTTTTTTCATTTATTTTCCTTTTTCTTTTTTACTACAAAAATTGAACATCAAATAGTATTTAAAATGATAATTAAGATTGATATAATTTTAGATATAAACAAATCTTATATGATGACTATTCAATTATCTTTATAAATAACAATACTTTTTTAAAGATCTTTAATGTTATATAGCCTGCTAATCTTAGCAAGATTTTCTGGTTTTTTATAATTGTATATTTGGACTTTATGCAATACTTATTAATAGCTGTAATCTGAATTAACAGATATCTTAGTGTAAAAGTTTGAGAATACTGAAGAGCTTCTGATGAAATTTAGTGATATGAATACTCTTATATTAGGAGATTACTGTAACCAGAAATTTATCAGACAACTTAATTAGAAACTTATTGGTATAATGTATCTTTTTTAACCTTTCTTTTTTCAGATATTAATTTCAGGTTCGTTAATTTTGAAGGGTATTTAATATTTGTAATTAAGGGATTAATAGATAATTAAAAGAAAAATCTTATGATATTAACATTTTTATTTACCTTTTTCCATTGAAGGTTTGCTCATTAGAAACAGTTCTTTTAGACATCTAGAGAGGATTGCTAATGATTAGTCAACTCAAACAAACTTTAAAAGTAGTTATAAGAATAGCTGTAATTTTAGTATAGATTTTTTATTTGTAATTTTATTATTTTGTAAATATAAAAATCTCTTTAATAAAATTTATAGTAGTATCATATTATTAAAAATTAAAAAAAAGAATATATTTCCTTTTATTAATGAAATACTATAAACAAAAATCATTTAAATAATTAAATACTAAAAAATCAATTTTTAAAAAATTAAAAAAATAAATAAACAAAAAATGTGATATAAAAAAATAAAAATAAATCACAAAATATAAAATGATTAAAAAAAATTCAAAATTTAATTAATAAAAAATATAAATAAATTCACAAAGATTAAAATGAATAAAATGATTAATTAAAAAAAATCCAAAAAAATTAAACAATATAAAGTTCAACAAGTAGAATTGCTAGTTTAATTAATATATAATGTGAAGTTTCACTTTTATTGATAAATTAAAATAATTCATCAATCAATCATAAAATAATCATAAAATATTTATTAGAAAACTTACTATGGTTGTCTTATTTGTTTAACTATAAAAAAATTCAGAAAAATATATTTTAGAAAGAAAGGTTTAGCTTTTTATCTAAGGTTTAATATGAAACTATCAATCACATTATATTAATATTCTACTAATTATAGCTAAAGGCAAATCCGTATTATTATCTAAGCAAACAAAACTGTTAATATTAAAAGAACTTCAGCTAATATGAAACAAAAAAATATGGTCATAGCTGAAGACAGTGATGTATATTTTTGATGTCTCAGAAATTTGTTGTTCTAGCTATGTCTCAACCTATCCCTATTATGTCCCAAATATCCTATCTGTCCCATCTATGTCTCATCAGCATCCCATCAGTGTCCCATCAATATCATATAATAACATTGGCTGAAGATATTAAAATCATCAAGAAATTAAACTCTCTTAATACTTCACCTGAAACTGTGAATTTCTTTCATACATATGAAAAAGAAAAAGAGACTAGTGAAGCATAGAGGTTTTTAGGTAAGACTATCAGCTTTTTATCCAAAGTTAATGTAGAACTATTTATCATATTATACTGATATTTTGCTAATTATAGCTAAAGACAAGTTCAGTATTATTATCTTAGCAAGTAAGCCTATTAATGTCGAAAGCACTTCAATTATTAATGCTAAAGGAATTTTAACTAATACAAAAAATATGCCAATATCTGAAGACATTAAAATTATCAAAGAATTAAGCTACCTTGATACTTTATTTGAAACTGTGAATTTCCTTCAAGTGTATGAAAAAGAGACTAATAATATATAGAGGTTTTTAGGTAAGACTAAAATTTTATATATTTTGTTATTCTATTACTTAATTAGCTAATGTCTTTATAGATTATATGAATAATAATTTTAGATAGCCTACTTCAATGCCTTAATTCACCAAAGATCAGGTCTTCTGAGCTTTAACTACTATTATTGATAAGATTAAAAATGATCAAGAATACACACTCAATTGCATTTATTTTTATGATAGTCTTGATAAGGGATTGTTTAATAAGCATAAAGAAAACTGAGTGCTGATATACAAATAGAGAATAGTTGAACATGAAGAAAAGAAAATAAATTAGTAACTATTAGATCTTAATAGCAAAATACTTGATTACTTTTATTTTCCAGTTGATTCATTACTTTATGAAGAAATTGTTAATCCTAAATTTTCTATAGCAAAAGTAATAGTTTCCAAGCTTTTTGATAATAAAAAATATATAATTTAATATAATTAAAATTACCCTTTTTTAATCTTTTAATTTTGCTATGATTTGACCTTTAACCAATAATGTATAATATTAATAAAGATTAAGGTTTAAGTTAAGAGAATGGAAACTGAAGATACAAATTTTATTATATTTAATTATCTATTTTATGATACAAAAAATAAAAATAAACTTTACAAGTCAGTTTTTGATATGGTTATTCCAAAAATAATATTACCCTATGCAATCCATGCATACCTATAATTTGTAAGATAGAAAAAAATAACAGTTTTTGCATCTAAATATAAAGCACCTATTAGATTGTTTTTAGCTAAAATTCCATATCAAGTATCTATTAGAAATGATAATAATTAGAGTAGTTGAGTTTAAACTAACACACTTTAGATATAAAAATGAATTTCTAATAATCAGATAGATTCTTCTCTAGTTGAGAATGATGTACTTGACCAATTAACTTATGTTCTTTTCAAGAAAGAAGTACTGTTCTTAGATGATCAACATGAAAGCACTGGTTACATTTTTAAATAATTTATCACCTGAGATACAAGTTAATCTATATGCAATCTAAATTATATAAATTATGTCTCAAATTAAATTTGTTAAAAAATGTAAAAAAAAAATATCTGTATTCTTGTCCAAACTTAACTATTATATTATACTAATTTTAATTTGTATATACTTCATTATAATATAATCACTTTTACTAATAAATATGAAAACTATAAATTACGTTTCAAAAGATAGAATTAAAAATATTTTCTAATTTAAGATCAGCAAAATTTTTGTTATATAATTTTTATGATTTTGAGAAAAAGGTAGTATAAGGTTAAATATAATTTCTGATAGTGTTTTGAAAAAAAAGAATAAAAAGAACCTGATAGAATTTCAAGAATTTTATGCATCTGATTACTAATTTAGTAAATTATGTTTTATTCTAGAGATATTATGAAAGTAGGATTGCAAATTTAATACTTTGTGTCTAATTTTTTCTTATTCTCAGAAATTAAAAGGATCATAAAATAATATAGGCAAAAAAAAAATATGCAGATAAAATCTATCCCTTTAGGTTTCATCTTAAAATTAACTGTAGATAATATTGATTATGTAGTTGCTAAAGTATTAGAACCATATGATACTATACTACATTCTACTGTATTCTAGTAACATATGTCTTAAAATTTTTTTAGTGTAATTACCAAAAAATTACTGTTGCATGATTTTTTTAGTCAGAATTATAAAATTAACTAGTTTTTTAAAATTAAGAATTAAGAGATTAAATGATAAATAATAGTGACAAATAGGATTTTTCACACTGAAAAAATTCTTTGTTTCTGAAATACTTATAAAAAAAATAAAATACTACAGGCATGATGAAAGAAGATAAATATTTTACTATGATCATGTGACAATAATTTTTTGGTGATTATGCTAGAAAAATCTGTTTTAGATATAAGATTACATATTTAGTACAGTCTGATTCTATAGAACTCGTTTCTATTATTTTATTTTGCCTAATTAAAAAAATTAATAATTTAATATAATTAGAATTTGCAATTCAATTAAATAAAATCTATTTTAAATTAAATTTAAAAATAAAATTAAAAAAAATTTAATTATTAAAAATAATAAAAATTAATTAAAAAAAAATATATTTAAAAAATTTAATTGAATAATTTATTTAATTTTAGAAAAATAAATTTAAAAATTCAATTAATTTAATTTAAAAGTAATTATTAAAAAGTATTTAAAAATAAAAATACAATTCTTTAAAAAAATTTCACTAATTAAAAAATATGCAATTTAATAATTAATTATAACTGAAAAACTAAAAATTTATTAATAAATAAATTAAAAATCTATTAAAAAAAAAATAATAAATCAACTAAAAAATTAAATTAAAAAATCAAGTAAAAATCATGGTATTAAAATAAAAAATAAAAATAATTAAATATTAACTTTTATAACTAAAAAAAATTTTTTAAATTAAAAATCACAGTATAAAAATAAAAAAAAATTTTAATATTAATATTATTAAAATTATAAAATCACATTATTAAAATATACTAAAAAATAATAAACTTAAAAAAAATCACAATATTAAAATAAACCAAAATTATAAAAAAAAGTAAAAATAAAAATAAAAATTATATTATTAAAATGATATAAATCTTGAAAAATATAAAAAATAAAATAATATAAGTAAAAATACTGAAAATAAAAAAGATTAAATATTAACAACTGATTAAAATATAAGAAAAATGAAATTTATCATCCCTTACAATGCATCGATCCATTATGTGACTATATCATCACTTATGTTATACCCTTTCTATCTTTCAATTTTACTAGTTTTTTTCATTTAAAAAATATATTTATCACATATTATTATCATATAAACCATTTTTATAATTTTGTAAATCTACTTAAAATTTTATAATACATGCCAATCATATGATAAAAATGCATCGTTATGATAAAATTCAAAATATAAAAAATCCATATTATTAAAAATAAAAATAAAAATAAAAAATCAATTATTAAATTAAAAAATTAATTAAAAAAAAATCATTAATTTAATTAAATCAATCATTAAATTAATTATTTGAAAATTAAAATCAAGCTAAAAATAAAATATAATTAATCATAACCTAATCTTAACCCATACTAATTTAATTATATTCTAAATATAATCTAACTTTTACTTAAACTAAACATGGGTATCGAAACCGAAACCTCCCGAAACTCTTTAAGTTTTGGTATATAATGAAACCTAATTTTGGAAATGCATTTATTTTTCTGAAACCCAAAACCTGAAACCCGATTTCGAAACTTATAAACTGAAATATGCTAAAACTTATTTTATTGTTTTATAAATTTATTATATTATTACTAAT